AGTAAATCTCTGTTTCTGTCAGACATAACTCCTGGACCTTGACTATATAGTAGTAAAATTCAGTTTTCGTCAGACAGAATTTTTAATTACATTATATATATTTATTAGTAGTATATAGGTCATTTTTGGTCAGAAATCTATAAATTTGAAATAAGTAGTAAAGCCAAGTTATAGTCAGACACTAAATACTTGATTTTTGTATCAAAAGCTAATAGAAGAAATATTTTATCACTTCGTCAAATGTTTGTCAGTAGTATAGGTAATTTTCAATCAGACATCATTCTCTTTTCTGCACAAATTATGAAAGTAGTAAAATATAGATGCAGTCAGGCAATACTACTTTTTAAATTTCTATTTTATTAAGAATATAACTAGGTAGTAGAAAATCAACTTTCATAAAAGAAAATAATTTTCAATTTTTTCAATATTCTTCCAAACTTCATTGTTTAATAGTGAAAAGTGAATTGTTAAAAAATTGAAGAGAAATCTTAAATTTTCGTTTGTAAAAAAAGTTAAATTCTGACAGAATATTTTCTTATTTGAAGTATTATAGAAATGGGAAAAGAATAAAGAAAGAAAGAAAGAGAGAGAGAGAGAGGGGGGGGGAGGCAAGATAAGAGAATCACCACTTGAGGGAAAAATTCAGCCAACTGATTAAGGAGCTTTTCTAAGACCGTAACGAGGATCAGAGATGGAAAACGTAAGAAGATCTCATGGGGAAATCGAAAAGGAAAGACGCTTCATCGCACCTCTGCGCTTTGTCTTTTCGCATTAATTTTCTCCTGTCCGTTTTACCCAGGGGTCTTGGGTGCTCGCAAAGTAATGGCGATCGTATTTTAAAGTTCCCCTTTGCCCCTCCTCTTTCCCCTCCTTCCAAAAGCTTTCTCTTACACTATTCTTATCTTCATTTGATCTAATCGAAAATAATTGCTCAGCAATATGTTACAATTTTCCTTATAAATTTTCCTAAATTGTTTTTCTTTTCTTTGAAAATAGTTACGTTCAAAGAAAATATATTCACGCGGCACATCTATAAACAGTTTACAAAAGAAAACATTTTTTCCAGAAAATAAATTTGATATAAATTATAAATTTTATAATAAGCATCCTAAAAAGGGTAATCTTCATTTAGAAAGATAAATTTTATTTATTTCACTTGAATTCCATTTGACATCAGAACTTAAAAAAATTGTTTTATTTTATTAACTACCAAACCAAAGAATAAAAATATTCTACATTTTAGTGGAATGCTTTTGTTTTGAGAGAAAAATTTAGAGAAATATTAGAAGATGATTTTTCCTCTAAATATGAGATTACTTCTTTCTAGGCAAGGTATAATAGTATCAGATAAATTGTATAGAATAAAAAAAATTTTTTAATGAAATTCAGACTAATTAATAATTTTTACTCAATATAGAAATATTGCGGATAATTACTCCAGAAAATGTAAATAAATGTCCTTAAAATTCACCATTTAATATTAATTTAAAAAAAGCGTTTTTCATGTTATTTATCGAAGAGATTATTTCGTATTTCTGTGACAGGGTTTTGAAAACAGTATTTAATTTTGATGATAATGAATGGAAATGGGTAAAAATTTAAAATTACTGAATTTTCTGCATGAGAGTAGAACCATACTAATATGTATACAGCAAAAAAGTAAATATATATATATATATATATATATATATATATATATATATATATATATATATATATATATATATATTGTATATGTATATAGCAAGTATGGTAGAACGTGTGAAAATTAAGATTACCCTAGAGATTACGCGTACGCAGAACAGTTCTGATAGAGTTCCCTGGCTCGACTGTTGAAAACGCTATGGGGATTTAACCCGTCATTGTAAATTACTCTAGTTTTAATTCTTCGCGACTTTCCTCATTTTCAAATCTCCTCTAATTATTTGATGAGTCTAATGCAATTAATAGAATAATCCTAAAAACAATATCTTGTTTAGATACAATTATTACTATAATAAACAAAAATTATTCTAACAATTTCGCGACAAATATTACTTTAATAATTCAACTAACAAATATTATTCTAATTATTTTACTACAACTATTAATAATTTAACCTTAAAAATTATTCTACTAGTTTGACTACAAAATATAATCTAATAATTTGCCTACAAAATTATTTTAATAATTCTCCATAAAAATTACATTTTAATAATTTGACAACACAAATTAATTGAATAATTAGTGAGAATGATAGTGAATGAATGATAGTGAAAATGAATGATAGTGGAATGATAGTAGAATGATAGTGGAAAAAAATTATTTTATTAATCTTAAAAGGAAAAAACTTAGAAATAATTATTAGCATTAGCAAAAAAAAAATTACAGATTATAATATTTTAAATAAAAGTGACATTATATCAAAGTTGTTCCAATTTGAAATTGATATTTTTCTTGTGTCGGAAAATAATGAGCTATTAAGAATATTTATTTTCCTTTACATATAAATATTTTTATATTTCATGTGTACACATAAAAACGAAAGGATGGAAAACGTATCAACGTATTATCAAATTACGCAAATAAAAGGGAAAACAAAATAGATTGCGGCAAATAATATGGAGTAAATAACATAAAGCAAAGTACAATAAAGGAAAAACGAAATAACGAATAAAATTGATTTTAAATTCACATTTTATTTGAAGTTGTTTCACATAAAACAGAAATCAGGTTAAATTTGAAGAACAAAGATTTTTAGTTTGTATAACAATTTCAAATACGGTAAAAAAATTTTCTTTAATATGAATACAATTAATTTGGAAATTCGAGAGAGATAAAAATTTTATTGCCAAAACGACTTAATTATTCTAGCTGACTGCAATAAGGTTTTTACTACTTCTTTCTAATTTATGTCCTGTCTGATAAAAAATTGACCTATACTACTCCCTGAAAATGAATTAGTAAAATTCTACTGACATTTAGATAAGAAAATATTCTTAGTATATATTATATTATATTCTAGTCTAAAAAAATTAGAATTTTGCAAAAAAAAAATTGCAGGACTCAAACCAATCTACTAATAAAATTAAATTACGAAAAATATTACTATTGTCTGACTAAAACTATTTTTACTACTTATTTTTTATTTATACAGAATCTAAAAGTCTGTCGGGTTGAGAATGACTAATACTATTAACTTACAAAAAAGACAAAATATTATGATTTTTTATAACAAACACGAGATTTAAAAATACTTTTTTTACCCAAATATATTTTAATGATTGCAATGAATAAATTACAGAAATTTTGGATTTTGCGTCTGACCTAAACTGGGTTTTACTACTTATATTTAAATGTTAGAGTTTCAATAGTTATGTCTGACGGAAACAAAAGTTTACTACTGACGGATGCAGAGTACAACAGTTAAATTCAGTTTAACATAAACTGACCTTCTGCTCCAACTTCGAAAACTTTTGATTTCAGATAATAAGTCTGACAGAATCACTCATTTACTACTCGAGTTCAAATTAAGAAGAATTCTTCAATTATCGTCTGACTTATTCTGACTTTTACTACTGCGAAGGAAATTTCAAGACTTGGAGAGAAAGTCATGTCTGGACAAAACTGACCTCTACTACTCGAACTTATGAAACTCTAGAAAACTTGGCTCTGATTAAAACCAAACTCTACTACTGCTAGAAAAATAGTAAAATCATGTATTACATTTTTCTACTTAATTATTTTATTTAATTTTAATTATTTTACTTAATATCATTTAATTAACAAGAATTCTTCAATTATCGTCTGACTGTAACCAACTTTTACTACTGCGAAGGACATTTCAATAATTGGAGGTCATGTCTGAACAAAACTGACCTCTACTACTGAAATTTATTTTAAAAACTCTACAAACCTTGTGTCTGACTAAAACCTAACTTTTCTACTTGAAAAACTGTACTATTATGGATAATATTTCTCTGATTAATAATAATCTTTACCACTTAGTTAAGGTCCGACTGAAAAGGATCTTTACTACTAACTGGAAAAATAGTACAATCATGGATTATATTTCTCTGTTTAAAAATAATCTTTACCACTTAATTAAAGTCTGACTTGAACAGGCTTTTCTACTTTCAAGTACTTTTTAGATAGTTTTAATCTCTGACACGAATTGACCTTTACTTCTGACATAAAAATTTCATAGCTCAAAAAAATTGTCTGACTAAATTCCGCTTTTACTACTCGGTATAATTTTTTTTGAAAAATGTGTCAAAATTTCTGTCTGGATAACTCACTTTTACTGCTATAAGGAAATTATATTTCACGTCTGACCAAAACATATCATTACTACTGACGTGAAATTTCCAAAAGAAACAGTCTGACTGAAACTGTAGTTGACTACTGATAATCACATATTTATTAAATAAAAAACTAACTGATTTTTTTTTTCTTCAAACGATTCACTATAAAGTTAGAAATAAAATAAAAGAACTTTTTTACCCACACCAAGAGAGAAATTTCAACTATTTCTCTGTATTGGTTAAAAATCCTCTGAGCACAAAGTGAAATTTTCTTTCCTTTTTTTTTTAATTGCAATGAGAAGAAAAAGTGTCTGAAATTTCTCCCTCGGGAAAAATGAAATGAAGAAAAAGAGTAAGAGATCTTGCTTTGGGCATTTTTTTTTGTCGGAACCGCACTTACTTAGAGTAAAATTAGGATAGGGCACGGTCTCGAGAAAGCATAAGCGCAGGCGTCCCAAGTCGTTGGTCGTAGTGAAACGCGGGGAGGGTTGAAAAGAGGGTTGCCTCGTAGCTTCTGTGGGCAACGGACGATCCACGAGTCAGTGTAAATCGCGTCGCGACGCCCTCCGCATTTCCTTCTCGTGCGAGCATTTTTTTTGCAAAAAATTCCCCCAAAATAGTTTCTCTATATTAATAAAAGAAACACCCGAAAAAAATGTCTCTTCAATAAATTTTTCTATTTTATAATATACAATTTTTTTTAACCAAGAGAAAAAAAATTTATTTTGAAAAGTGCAAGTGACGTTGAATTTTATTTTCGAAGAGTTATTAAAATTTTTGTTCTGTTTTTTTTCTTTGGTTCATTGAATTAAATAAAAATGTTGTTACTTGGTAAAATCGAAAATGTATCTCTAAATTTACTGTGGTTTAACTTCAATTATTATCAGAATTCCCATCAATGTAAATTAATTTCCATTTAGATTCTACGATAATTACGTCGAGTAACACGTCTTATAAAATTATTGAATCAAGTGATATAATTGATTCCAATGGATTACTATTGTGATTACAATTCAACTTTTTTCTCCAAGTGTTCCGGAAATATTCGGGAGATAAAAAAGAGACGAGCACGTGAAACTTTTTAAAGGTGCGTGACCTATAATTATATTTATAAGAAAGATAATTTCAATATCAAAAAATTTGTAAAACATTTTTTTGAATTAGCCTCTAAAATTAAACTTTTAAATCAACTGAATTTTGAAAAATAAAATTTGCTAAATTAACTACATTACATAAAAAATAGGTTTTCATTTTGTTTTAAAAAAATAATGATTTAAAAAATTATTCACACTTTAAAGTTCAATTTTTTTTCTATAAACTACAGTCAACTCTAGATAAACTGAAATTCCAGGAACAAAAAAAAATCCAAATTATCGAGGATTTTATTTATTGACCATTTTTTCAAGGAACCAGAAACCAAATTCAATTTATCGAAAATTTAATTATCGAGAGATAACTGTGTGTATTAAAAAAAGAATCTTTGCAAAGAAAATTCGTTTTGGTAAAAAAAATTATTTTTTTTAAATTCAAGAAGAAAGGGAATTAAAAGTTTAGGCTTAAAAACTTCATTCGATACAACAATTTGTCAAGGGTCGATAAATTGCTGATTCTTGGTTCTTAATTTTCGGTCGCCACCTTAGTTCATCGAGGTAATTTGCAGTCATATTTTATCGGGTAAGACAGAGACAAAAAGTGATGACGAGAAGGGAGAGAGAGAGAGAGAGAGAATTAAAACGACTCCCGCGCGTTAACGAGATTTTGTCGTTCACAGATGAGTGGATATCAGAATTTTGCTTCTTATAATTAAACAGATAATTGCAATTAGAAAAAAAAGCATCATTTAAAAAGTAATATTCAACGGACAAGAAGTTCATTAAAATAAAAAGTTCATTTCTCAATTGAGATCATTCTACTATCATATTAATAATTTAGCAAAAATAGAAAAATTAATTCTTCAGAAAAAAAAGAATTATTAAACTCATTTGATAAAAAATTTTTAATAAATTCATTTGATAAAAAAATGTATTAAACTCATTTCATTAAAGAAATTAATTATTATTTAATTGGATTTAATTAAAATCTTAACTTTGTTATAATAATGAAATTAATTTGCCTTCAGAATGAATTCCATTTAAATTGAAATTTATTAAAATTGTAATAACACAATTCTAACAAAATTTGTTGTAAAATAAATTTTTATTTTATCGAATTATTAGATAATAATGTATGATAATAAAAATGTTAATAATAATAATAATAATAATAATAATAATAATGTTAAAAATTTTTTCTTTCATCTCGATGAAAATTATTTTTAAACTATTTAAAAAACAATCTAAACATCCAACGCTTTATTATTACGCTATATCATTAAATCAGTGTAAGGACAAAATTTAATATTTTGTTTTCTTTCAATCTGACCTGTTTTCACAAACTTTATTTCATGGAAAATTCTGTTTTTAATGCAGAGTTTGGGTTAAGGGAAAAAAGAAAATTAAAAAAAAAGTAAAAGTTTTTTGTAAACGCAATTATTATTTTAGTTTTTCTTTTCATTTTGTACGCGTATTTAAAAATTGTGCTAAAGCATTGTTATATCCCGTTCAGCAAAATATGTGTGTTTGATATGCCTCGACCGTCCAAAAAAAAAAAGACTTGAAATAATTACAGAAATAGCAGTACGTCAGCATTTTTCTATATAATAAAATTTACTTTAATTTCTCTCTTATATTTTCATGTTAACATCTAAATTAAGCAGAAAGTGTAGTTTTTCAATTATTGCACCTTTTTTGTGAAAAAAAAAAATTTCTTTTTTTCAAAAGTAACTTATATTTTTTATTTTATAATTATACTTATTTTGTTTATTTTAGTTATTTTATTTATTATATTTATTATATTTATTTTAGTTGTTCAAATCAGACAATTCAATTTTTATTTTAAATAAATATTTGAAATATTTTTTAATAAATAATATTCTTTAGAAATAACTGGATTGAAATTTTATTTAAAATCCAATTTCGTTTAATCTCGATATTTAAATATAGAATATTTAAAATTCTTGTTTTTGTTGTTTATTTTATTTTTATTCTTAAATTAATTTTCATTTATTTATTAATTAAGCGTCACGTAGATTGTTAAACAAAAAACGCCCTTTCGTCGGTTGTTTTAAAGAATTTTCATTTTATCTCTATTCTTCTTATTTTTAGATTCTATACTTATAATTTTTGTGATAATATTTATAAGAAAAAAATTGTTTGAACACAAATTATAATATAAAAAATAGAATTATAATTTTTTAATTAAATTAATAACAAAAACATTTAATAAATGACTGCATTTCGAAAATTAAATTTATGCAAAAGAGGAAAATTATAATGTAACAAATACAAACTTGTGAATTGTATGTATATTGATTTTCAAATTGTTAATATTTGATTCATTTTCAGAGGCAAATAATAATAAATTACTAATTTTCCTCTTGTGTAATTATTCATTTAATAAATATATGAAAATAAGTAAATTACAAAAGGATTAAACATTAAACTTTAAATGATGTATTCATTACAAATGGCCTTTAGTAATTGAAAAAAAAAAAATCTTTTGCAAATTCGATTGGAATATTTGAAAAACAAAATTTAAATAATGTATAATCGTTAAAAAAATGAAACTTGCCTAGGGCTCTATTAGGCAATGATATTTAATTTTGAAACATTCTAAATTTAATAGAAAATTTACTAAAATCGTAAGAAAAGAAATTAAAAACTTCAAGAATATAAAATTTTTTTTGTAGTTAAAAATGTTTTTGTACAAAATAAATTCCTTCTCATTAGTTAATAAAATTTATGTACAAAGTAATAAATTCTTTATTTTGGATAAAAATTTTCTTTTTGACAAATAAATTCTTTTTGTTTGGTTAACAAAAATTTTTTTTTACAAAATAAATTCTTTTCTTTTTTGGTTAAAACTATTTTTTGTACAAAATAAAAGTAGAAAGAAATTAAATTATTTTCTTCTATCATCGAGTCCCGTAAAAATTGACTAATTAAACGCAGGTATTTGATGGAGGAAGAGTGGAAGGCGAGGGGAAGGTGTGGGCAAAGCTTTACCTATATAGACCAAGCGTTACTTTAATCGAAGCTTTCGCAACAACACAGTAGCAACCGGTGCCACCCATTTATTGCACGTGAATTTAATTTAGTCTCAGGGCGCTTTGTGAATACCAACCAGTAACGCTGGTTGCGGTTTGTCCACGTGCCCTTCAACAGACATTGCCTGTTAATTCCTCTGACTAGACTGAACCTCATCTCCCTTTGTGTCCTATTGTATATTCCAAGCTCTTAACGTCACCCAAAAACCTTTATAAAATATTTAACCCCAATTTTCAATTCTAACTCTAGACATCAAAAGGAAATTTCAAACGTTTTCCTTTAATATTTTTTTTTGTCCTTTAAAATATTCAAAAATTCTATTTTTATCATCGATTTTAAAGGTAAAGACATTTTTTTATATTTTTTAAAAAATATACATTTTCATTTAGAATTTATTAACTTTTTCACAGTCTAGTGATTCAAATAGTTCTCGGGACAAAAATATTCCAATGAAATCTTTCCAAAAATGTATTTTTCATATTTGAGGTCTTTAAGGTAGTTCAATTTATTTATTTACTAGCAATGGGCTTAGAAAACATTAAAAAGTTTTTGAATTTAATTTTTTCTATTAGAATAAAAAAAAATGATGAAGAACTTAAAATATTTTAAACTGACTATAAAAAAAGCGAATACTAAAATTTTTACCACTGGAACAAAATTTTGAAAAATTGAAATCAGTCTGAATTTAATTAGAAAGAAAATTCTTGAAATTGAACTTTATTAGAAACAATAAAAATGAATATATATTTTAGAAAAACTGGGCACAATCGATTTTGATAATTCAGGAAATTTCAGTCTGACTAAAACTGTTGTTTACTACTTACTTTGAACGAACAAGAATAGAATTATTTAAGAAGTACTCTACTTAAATTATTTCCACGTTTGAAAGTCTTTTATCAAAAATAATATTTACTACTGACAGGACAATTTCAATAATTCAGGAAATTTTAGTCTGACTATAACTGTCTTTAACTACTTAATTTTAACTGACAATTTAAAAAGTATTTAAAAAGTCTTATACTTAGTGAAAAAGATTTTTTCTACTTACAAAATAATTATAAGAATGAAAAAAATCGAAAAATAAAATCAGGAAATTTTAGTCTGACTATAACTGTCTATAACTACTTATTTTTAACCGACAAAGAACGAGTATTTAAAAAGTGTTAGACTTAGTGAAGATGATTTTTTCTACTCACAAAATAATTATAAAAGTAAAAGAAATCAAAAAATAAGAAGTAAAATTTTAGTCTGACTATAACTGTCTTTAACTACTTATTTTTAAACGACAAGGAACAAAAGTATCTGAAAAGTCTAAGATTTCGTGAAAAAGATTTTTTCTACTTACAAAATATTTGTAAAAATAGAATAAATCAAAAAATAAAATTGTAAAATTTTTGTCTAACTATCACTGACTTTAACTACTGATTTATATAATTATTTACTGCTAACTCACTTTTACAAGTGAAACAAAAATTAGTAAAACTTTTACTTCCAACCATCAAAAAATAATTTTTACTATTAATAACGAAACAATTTCAATAATTCATGAAATTTCAGTCTGACTAAAACTGTCTTTTACTACTTGTTATGAAACAACAAAAATAGAGGTAATGAAAAATTCTTGTATTTGAAAATTTGCTACCAAAAATGATTCTAATCATTGATGGAACAATTTCAATAATTCATGAAATTTCAGTCTGACTAAAACTGTCTTTTACTACTTGTTATGAAACAACAAAACTAGAGGTAATGAGAAATTCTTGTATTTGAAAATTTGCTACCAAAAATGATTCTAACCATTGACGGAACAATTTAAATAATTCGTGGATTGTTAGTCTGACTGTTACTGTCATTTACTACTTTTTTTAAACAAATATGCAAGTATTTGAATAGTTTTAATCTTACGAAAAATGTTGTCTTCTATACTTAAAATATAATTGCT